AAGTAGTACAAAACATGGCAAAATGCAAAGTAAAAAAGGAAAACATAGTCCTTGACACAGCACCGTTGGAGCAGCGACTCAGCCCGACGAGCATTGAGCTTGGCAGCAGGCAAGAGGAGCGTTGGCGAGGATGTCTCATGTGCTGGTGAACGAGTTCTAGAAATAAACCTCGTTTTTAGTATCTCCCCTTCAAACGAGCTCTGGTGGGATATGAGCAATGAAGATTCATAATTCGAATTATCCAGTTTTCTGAATTTCAGAGATGAAAATCGAGTAGCGAAAATTGAAGAATGCTTATCGTAACATTTCTGATTGGGTTTCGGTCTTCGAAATTCGCAGTTATGGAAAATTTCTTTTTGAAGTCTGCTTATGAAAGTTTACAAACGGAATTCGTGTGGGCAAAAGCAAGAGTTGTGGAGCTTTTGTTCCCCAATGCGATTAGCCTGCTTACAAAAGAAGCATCCATACTTGGCTGGCAGGAAGTGACGAGATGAGTCGCTAGTCCCAAGCAGCGCTCGCAGCGACCCTTCTGTTTTAGACGATCGCGGCGAGCACTCAAGGTGGGGTAGATATTGCACGAATTTGCCCAATGAAGGCGACCACAAAAAACACATTCTGTACGAGGCTGTGAATTCTGCTGCTGCATTGAGCGTTGCGAGCACTGAGCAGAAATTTGTTGGGCTGTTGTGGTGGCGCGGCTGATAGCTGATGTGGAAGTGCATGGTGATGTACTTGTTGTGATGGCGCTGAAATCGAAATGAAATGAATTAGATGGCAGACGAAGATGAAATGCATAGTTCTTCTCAGAGAAATGATTATCAAATTCGATAGTTTTCTCTTTTTTTTCGAATTTTACCTGAACTGATAGACGATTCTTCTAGCTTCGCTTTCTTGCCCTGGTTGACTGTATCGTCAGGGATTGCTTTGCGCTTCTTCATTTGACGCGCATTACGAGTCATCCACATTTCTTGCGTGAGATGTTGTACCGCACTTTCAAGGCTACGAATGGCTAGAGTTAGGTCGTAGAGAAATGATGGCTGGAGGGAGTGCTGTTGATTGGAACAACAGCATTGATTCTGGTTGTTCGGCTGATCCATGGAATTTGGTGGTATATAAGTCGATTGGTTGACAAACTGAGGCTGATCGGCGTTTGTGGAGAACTCAACGTTTGATAGTGGCGAAAAGGTGGGCGACAATTGCTTGACGACGGGTGATAACCCTTCGGTGGCGACTTTCTCAAGTTCAAAATTGAGAGGAGTCATTGATTCGTTTGGTTCACTCATATCTGGAAGAATGTAAATGAGTTCACGAGGTATGATTGTACAAGTCACGGAAGTATTCGTTAATGGAAGTTGTACGATCGATGAGAACACGCTAGATAGATGTATCTACGTTACGCGGAGCAAGTTATGGTAGCTAGTAAGTATTCTTTTCAAGTGGCGAAACAGTACAAAGGTAGGGAGGATGAATCACAAGCGAGATTTGGAAATGTTATAAAGCTAGATAGAATTCAGAAGTCGAAGAAGGATGCGTGCTACAAGGAGAGGCAACTTGAGAAGCAAGCGTATTGTAAGGCGTACTATCGATATGGTAATTGCGGCAACTCGGAGTGGGAGGGGCATAAGCGGTGTCGGCACTCTCTTTCTCTGAATTCCTTGGCTTGAGGAGAACAGACCTCCAAGCGCAATTAAGTTGGTGATCGCGAAGGAGATGAAGATCGCAGCCACCGTTACTGTCAGAACGATGAGTGAGAATAGGAAGTATTGCTTGAAATTGTCAAAAATGTGGCTAATATCTGGAAACGAGAAGCCCTCTGTTTCATCTGTTCGCGCCTTGTTGCTTATCAGTTTGCGAAGTGATTGAATTGGATTAAATGGATTTACATAATAGAGGATGCCCTGTATGGTGAATGCGTAGTTGTTCTTTCCACATTTGGCACGACATAGTTGGTGGAATCGCGCGGTTTGTGAGAAGAACCGTATTGTGTTTCGGTAGCCGTCTTGAGAGCATGATAGAACAAAGGTTTGTGTTGCACATTCGACTTCTGCGAGGCCGTATTGGTATTGATGAGTGGCACATTATTGTTGTAGCTGCACCTAACAAGCAATTGTAACAACCTTGCACTTCTGTTGAGGAGAAGGAGCATTCAAAGCTATCAAATATGAGTGACAATTTCGCTATTGTTGAGTTGAGTGTTATTGCTAATTCGGCGTTGGCTGCTTTCGTCTGAATTAGTGCACCCCAATTTTCTGAGGGTCGTATGATAGTGCTCGGAAGAGTTATTGGTAATGTACGACTGAGATCGAAATATGAGCTGACATTGTTTTGCTCGCAGTAGCAAGTTATTTCGTCCTCTGCTGGGTTGCAAGTGCAGCTATTTCTAACCGTGCAATTTGAAATTTTGCCCGTTTCGTTGTGCTCGTGATGGCGACATGCGAAATGAAACTGGACGTTGGGATCTAAGACTGCTGTTGACTGAGAGCCTTTAATGAAGTTGCGATGAATGAGGTTACTTGGGATTACATGGAGCGAAGTCAGTTGAAACTTAACATTCGCGTAAGTTTCCTGCATGTTCTCTCTGAGTTCTAAATGATATTGCATTGGTCGCTTGTTTGCTAATTTCATTTCGAATGTGAATGTAGCTGAAGGTGACCACGTGGGACAATCGTACACTTCGTAAACTTCATCGTCGATGGGTTCGTGGTATATGCGATAGAAAAGGCAGCCTGAGGAAGGAAGCCCGCATGTGCATCCCAATCCTCCGCAGGATTCTGTGCAGAACGTAATGCCGGTGTAATTGTTTGCAATTTCAAGTTCTGGGACAAGAGTGTCGGGGTGTATTTTCGCGCATTTCGCGCCAGTACAAGTTCCCATGAGTGGGCATCGTTTGCTATACTGAACCTTTGTTATTGTGTTTTGAGTGAAAAATAACGTTTCCTTGTTGCATCGCATTAAAATCTTCCTCAATGTTAGCTTTATTTGAACTGTAGTGTAGTTGCCTTTTCGTATTTGGAGGCAGACCTCGGGTTGGATTGGATTAATTTTAATTAAAATTTGTCTTTCGTCTGAGCAAGCTTTGTCATTGGCGTTGCATTCTGTGAGAAGTGATTCTACGACCACTGTTTGTTGACATGACTGTGCAACTAATGCTGAAGACAACGCAATGCAAATTGTAAATATGCGCACGATGCCTGATGGTCGCCAACGCTGTTGTCTATTCGGTCTGAGTTCGACTAGCGGTGATTCGATGGTGTCGTAGTGGTCTGCGGCATTGACACATCTATAAAGCCTATGTACAGCGGATCGAAGAAAGTTCTTAATACATCGGCAAGTTCGCGCTGCACAAGCCAGTGTTCGCTTGATACAGCACAAAATGATCGCGACCGTCATTACCACAACGTAAAGGAGAACTGAAGTTATGACAATGGCTAGCTTAGGCCAGCAGTGTGGATTCGAAACCATTGAGGAGCAAAAGTTACATGTAATTTGCTCGCAAAACGGACTTGGTTGGCAGCTTAACTGAAATGTAGTGGTTTCGTTTCTTGTTCGCTTCTTTATCGTCACTATGTAAGGGTGAAGGGTGATTTCCGCTGGAAACTGTATGGTCAAATTACTCTCGGGGTTTTGTATCTCCATACAGTGTTCGTTCCCACATACCTCTAATTTGTTCACAGGCTCGATTTCGATGAAGTTTACTCCGCCGCGAACGCAACGTGGCGAGATAGTGTTAGCATGCAGAGCGCGCGCGAAAGGCAGACAAACCAGCATAATTGCTGTTGCGAGCCACGCATGCCATGCGATGGGAAGAGCAACGGTTCGCCGCCTACCGTCTTCGCCGCGAGTGAACAGCGAGAAGGAATAGCTCACATTTTCCTTTGCTTTTCGTGGAAGTCTCGCTCGCCTCTCGTTTCCACTACTAGATGTGGCTGTCTCATCTACATTGTTGCAATTTTGTGGGCTATCTTTTGTTGCGAGGTTTTCGTTTTCGATGGGTTTGTCGTTTGCTTGTTCATCTTTCGAAGATGATGAGTCATCGTCATCGAGTTCTAATGGAACGAGCATATTGATTGATCGTCGAATGGTTTCTCGGTTAGCTGTACGGAGTGCAACTTCGCGTACTTCCCCATCAGGATCTTCTTTGAGTTCAGTCACTAAGCCCATGGGCCAGTGCCCGCGATCAGTATTCGCTTCCATGATAAGAACGACTTCTCCTACACGCGGTCTTGTTCGTGTGAATTGGTTTTGCTTTATCCTTATTTGATGTAGGTTGCGTAGTTCAAGGAGATATTGCTCCGTCCACGCTTTCCAAAGTCGTGACAAATGTTTAATCGTATCGTTCAAACGATTTATTGCTGCTTGTTTCGTTGTGATCGTTGGGATGTATGATGGGTCGCTTCCCATTTCCTCCATGTCTCCTGCTAGCGGGAGGAGTGCAGAAGGTTGAGCATTTGGAATTAAAAAATCGATTGGGCGAAGAATCATGGAGTCTTCAAGTGAGCTGCCAGCGTAGGCTAAAGGTCTCGAGTTGACCATTCCTTCTGTTTCGATTATGAGTGTATAGAATTCTTCACAAGAAAGCGTCTTTCTGCCTATGACTTTCTTCAGGCATGATTTGAATGTACCTATCATTCGTTCATAAAACCCTCCTTTCCAAGGGGATAAGGGAGTTATGAATTTCCATGCGATCGACTCATTGGCGAGAAAGTTTTCTAGGGAGTTAGTGTCGAAAATGTTCTGTAAGGTTTCGGATTCATTTTGGCTGATTAGTTGTTGGCCCAACTTGAAGTTTGTCGCGTTGTCTGAAATAATTTCTCTCGGTCGACCGCGTCTTGCAGCGAAACGACGCAGACAGTTTATGAAGCACTCGCCACTCACTGAAGTTAGTACTTCTAGATGAATGGCTCTTGTGCTCATACATGTGAACAAGCACACCCATCTTTTTTGATGATTGTCTTGATCTCGAACTAGGAAGGGTCCTGCCAGGTCTACACCTATATTCTCGAAGACTCGCGATGGTGTTGTCCTACTGTTTGGAAGTGACGGAGAGTTTGGATATCGGTAAGCTCTAGCATTCCATTTTTTGCAAGTCGAGCAGGATTTTAGTACTTTACGAACTATGCGTCGACCCGTTGGTATCCAGTATTTTAATCGAAGGTTCGCTAAAGTGGAATTAACTCCTTGATGTCCTAATCGTTGATGAACATCCAGGATTATCAAACGTGTGTATTCATGATCGGAAGGTAAGAGTATGGGATTTATAGTTTGAAATGGCAGATGGGAATTCTGAAGTCTTCCATAGCATCGCAATATGCCTTCGGAGTCGTTTAGGACGTTGAGATGTTGATGTTTCGGTGTTGGCACTACTGTGCCCTGTGCAAGCTTTATGCATAACTTCTCAGCGGCTATTACTTCCTGCGAAAGGATTTGAGTAGCAGGACGTAGCTGTAACATTTCTTGAAGCTCTGGTATGCTTTCGTTATTTTGTCGCGACTTTCTTGTCTTAGTTTGCTGACAACTTTGGTCTTGATGAATTTGAGAACTAGTACCATAATGCGATGACATTTAGAAAAAGAGAATGTTCGTAAATATGGCCAGTTGATTGTTGGTTCATTTGTGTTGCACGAAGCAACATGTGTAGTCGAGAGTAGCGTAATTGGATTCGGATTACTGTTGTCATTACTAGTGTCAGGTAATTGAAAGTTCATTGATCGAGGCCACGCTGTCTTCGTCTCGTACTAGGAACTTTGCGCCGTTCCACCACATGTGTTCATGTAACTCTTCCTTCGTTAATCCTCGAGTAGCACAATCGGCTGGGTTCTCATTGGATGATATGTAATGAAAGGCACAGTGCATATGTTGTGCAATGAAGGACGCGTTTATACGTCGTATTTTGAGAACACGATTTTGAATGAAAACGCCTTTGGGTTTGTCTGACTGGATCCAATTTAGTGCTATTTGCGAATCGCTATATATATTGATCTTGTCAATTTTCAAGTCGAGTTCGTCGTATACGAATTTAGTGAGCTGCATGCCAAGCTGCAGCGCAACTAATTCCAATCGAGGAATTGTAATAACGGGGTCTGACTTGAGCTGTTTCACTGGGGTGAGCCGATGGCGCGCTATCACTAGTCGACACCGGATTTGATTGTCGGATGTATGACTGCGTAGGTAGACGCATACTGCAATGGAGTGGGAGGATGCATCGACAAATGTATGTAGCTGATAATTTGTTGTGAAACGCGGAGAATCAAAAAGTTGTCTAGGAATAACTTTGGTAAAACCAGTTGCACGACTACAAATGGATTGCCACTTCTCAGTATCTTCACGTTGTAGAGGCTGTGTCCCAATTATAATCCTTCTGCCATAGCTCTTGTAGAAACACTTTCGCGGGAGTTAAGAGGGGAACCAAGAACCCAAGGGGATCAAACGTCGCATGAATTTGTTTCAATACATTGCGTTTCGTGGTTTTCTCCGTCTGTGTTAGGTTTAGATGGAGGACGAACTCGTCTCGTTCCTGAATTCCACTGCAGCCCAAGTATCTTTTGTGATGGATGCTTTGATAGGTCTGCGCAATCGATTGTTTCGTTGCATGATTTATCGTTCGTCATGTATTCTCTGAGATTCATCGACATGTCTCGGAAGAGCCTGTTTGCTTGATCGGTATTTATGCACAAGATCAGATGAATTCTGAGCGGTAAGGAATACGTTATCTACGTAGAGGTTGCGCTGGATCTCTTTGCAGAGACGTTGCTCCTTTTGCTGATTGAGGGCATATTTGATGGACATACCTAACAAGTATGGTGATGAGTTAATGCCGAAGGCTAGTCGCTTAAATCGAAGGATCCGTAGGTTGTCTGGAGAAGGTGGCAAATTTACGTCTTTGAGCCACAAAAATCGTACCGCGTCTCGTTCGCATTCCTGGAGGTATATCATATGAAACGCCTTTTCCACATCGGCTGTGAGGAATTTAGGTCCTATTCTGCAGCGTATCAATATGCCGCAAAGATTGGGAAGCAGAAGGGGGCCTTGATGTATAACGTCGTTGAGACTAAGTTCCCCCTGTCGTTTTGATGAGGCGTCGAAGACTATTCGGCATTTTGTCGTGTGACTACCAGGTTTGAAGACGGCCTGATGTGGCATGTAGTACCTTGGTGATCGGCATTTTTGAGATGGGTGAACCTCTTCAACAATGTCTCGACTCAAGTGGTCTTCTATGATGCTACAATATTGTAGCCAGCTTTCGGGTTTTGCATGGAATGCTCTATGTAGTTGATGTAATCGACCTAATGCGATTCCGTAGTTGTCGGCAAGCTGGTTCTTGTTCGATTTCCATGGGAATTGAACAAAAATTTTGTGGTCGCGTATTTGAACGGTCTCGTAAAACTGTTTTACTATTCGATCCTCTTCTTGCTGATCTGAAGGGTTGTCACAAATGCCGACAGATTCAAGTTTCATCATGTCGGAGAGATCGGATTCCATTGAGCTACACGAACCATTCGCTACTAAAAGCGTTATGTTGTCTTTATGAATTGGGTAGACTGTGGGATCAGTCGTAGTACCTGAGATGACAGGGCCAAAAAAGGTATCTTGCAAGTAGAGACCTGATGGAAGTTGAACGGCTGGCTGAAATGAATTAACTATGGTGTTGAAATAGTCAATTCCTAGTAAAACCTCTGGAGAGATATCTCCTTGATGTATGTCGAGGTTCGTTAAGGAGAGTTCGTGTCGTATGTATGATAGATCGTTAGGTGAAAGGGCTTGCAACGAAAATGATGCAGTGAGGATAGATTTCGTGAAAAGTTGAACTTCAATAAAATCGCCTTCATCGTTGAACAATGGTACAGTCACCACTCTTGTGTTGATTTTTTCTGCTCTACCTCCGAATGTGGATACTCTAAGGATCTGATCGCGATGAGTGTTGAGGTGTAGGCGTTGGACCGCCTGCGTGAGCAATGAAGGAAGAATCAGCTGCTGAATCGAGAAGCGCAATGGTCTTCTCGAACGCGCCAGTACATTCATTTCGAATGAGTACAGCAACAGTCATAAGTCTTGTGGTCAGATGATGAACTTGATCGTCGAGTTCATCCAATTTTTGAGATTGGGATTGTTGGTGAAGTACAGTTTTTGGTTCATTTGATTCGTCTTTGGTAAATGGTGCGGCTGTCGCACAGTTAATGAAACTGACTCGTCTTGCCTGGTTGGAGTGGGATCGTGAGGAAGATTTAGACGTTCGTGGTGATGATCTCGAACTTTGTCTATTCTGAGAAGGAGAATGTGTCGGAAGGGGAGAGCTGGCTCTTCCGAAGGGCGCCGTTCTGGTATTGGTTTCGCGCCTTTCGTGGGTGGTGAAGAGTGAATCAAATGAGTTCGGTGAATGGGATCTGGAACGCGACTGGGAATGTGTGGACTGATCGCGACCGGAAGCAGAGTTATCTACCCTACTGTAGTCACGGTTGATGCGAGGAAGAGAGCGAGAACGCACTCGCTCGCTGGTGGATGAGTGGGAGAGTCTTCGTTGGTAAGAATTTTGATCTCTCAATTGTGAGCGTGCTTTGAAGCACAGAAGAGGGTGGTGGGATCCATCGCATCGACTGCATTTTCTTCTGTTGCATTCGAAACTGGCATGTCGCTTACTGAAACAAATCCAGCAAGCGCGTAATTGTTTGAGGCGCTTTATTTTGTCTGCTTGTTGCGGGTACTTAGGACAGTGTATGAATCTATGATTGCCGTTACAGCCTGTGCAGTAACTTTGAGAGCGAGAAGCTTGAAGGCTGTGCACGACACTAGAGGTGGGTCTCGTTGTTAGGATATTTCTAAATGATAGATGGACTCGTCTGCGGACGACATTCTCCAAATTTGATAGGAGATCTGTCATCCTCCAGATTGTATTGGAATCGTATTCTGTCTTGGCAACTTCCTCTTGTATACGAGAAGGAAATTTGCTCAGTACTGTGTGAAGCAAGCTCGTGTTATCGACTGCTTCACCCTGTTTTCGCATTTCGTTTATTAAGGCGAGTATGTCATTCAGTGTGTTTTGAAGATGTCGCGGATCATCTGAACTGGTAGGAAGCCCATTTAATTTCTGGAGTAGAATCGCTTTGGTTTGCCTCGGGTCATGGTACTGCGATTTGAGCTGCTGAACTGCTAGGTCGTATGATTCGCCATTCCTGGGTATCATGCGAAGGGCCCTAGCGGCATCACCTTTGCAGCAGCTCAGAAGGATTGATAGTTTCTCCGAGTTTGAATAAGGCTGGTTGTGTACCAGTTCTTCAAAAAGTTCCCAGAATGCTTCGAATTCGATTGCATCCCCGTGGAAATCGGGAATTTGAAGTTCGCGACCGAGAAGGCGTCGCATCAGATGAAATTGGTCCTCGACGGGTCTGGAAATCGATGCATCTGGCATGTTTGTGCTCAAACTTGGATGCGGTTCTGAGCCTATGATCGAGAAATTTTGGAGCAACGGCTCCTGTTGAACAGTATTGGCTCGTGTTTTGTTTTCGAAAAGGACATTATCGGTTTTGTGAATGGGATTGAGTTTCAAAATGTCTAATTTTGTGAAACTTTCTTGACAATTCATTCGAGTGTTCGCTGCTCTAGATTGTGACGCAAGTTCGAGCTGGTGTCAAGAGCAGCGTCACCTGCACGTTCGTCCAGTAGGTATCGAATTTGTTTTCCACTTCGACGCCTTGTTGTGGCTCGTTCTTTTTTATTGCATCAATCGCATTCGAAATGTTCGCATATGATACCTGAATGGCTTGCTCTTTATTCAAGAGAGCATCTTTGATGTAATTGATTTTCGACCTATTCAAAAGGATGTACTCGAGTAGTTCTTTTGGCTCGGTGGGGTATTGCCATGGGTTTTTGAAAGTTTCGCCTTCACGGATGAGTTCGTGAAGTTCGTTCAATTGACGCGTGAGTTGCTGCTTCGCAGACTTGAGAGAGAACGGCTGAGATGCTTGTGACATGTCACGAAGAATGGGTAGTTGAACTGATAGGGTGCCCTTATATACCCCGTTGTGGGGGAGGGGCTCTGAGTGGGCGTGGTTACCCAATGGTGTTGCAGTGGGCGTGGCCTCGCCTCGTGGAGCAGAGCGGTGGCCAAATGCGACCGTGCTCGAGAAAGCGGAGTAGGGAAGGGAAATTGATCGATTGATTGATTGATTGGACATTATGCGTCCGCGAGTATAACGGCAATGTGATTGGCTTACACCGTTTTCGAAAATTTGACGATCTGTACGCGAACTTGCACTCAATTGAGATGATCGTTCACTATCTCTTTCTAAAACACAATAGATCGCCTTCGATATTGTGCGTCTTCTTTCCGACCGTGATGTACTTTGATGAATTTATTCGATGATTCACTGTCATCTCAGTTTTATTCCTTCTTTCGAAGATTGGTTAGAAAGTGGGAGCAGTCGTGGCTATGATTCAGGCATAGAGTTAATCATGAGTCATCTGTCGCATGCTCATCTTATTGATTTAATTTTTCACAGCTGCGACGTCGCACGAGTGAAAGCTCGTTGCTCGAAGGTTCGCTCATTTTCGAAAATGTCAGAGGGGTGAATCATACTTTGACAATGTTATGGTAAGCTAGCTTGTTGAGTTTATGATCGTTACATCGCACTGTCGACTCGAATAAGGGAAGTATGATCAGTGCACATATAATGATGCATGATGCTATAGCACAGAATATAGAATTGCCGGCTTTCGGATAGCTATCCTCTCGATATTGATTCAATGTCATGACATCTAGGCATATTGGATCTGCAGAGCTTTTCAGTTTCTTTGAATCGACTTCCTTTCTTTGATCGATTCTTTTCTGACATATCTGTTTGCTTTTTCCGTGAAGGCCTTCGGAGGTTCGTGGGCGTTTATTTCAGGTGCCCTACCCTAAACTCTTTATTTCAAGGAGTTAGCTCTAGGCATTTTTTTCAGGTTGCCATCCCTAGACTCTTTATTTCAAGGAGTCAGCTCTAGGCATTTTTTTCAGGTTGCCGTCCCTAGGCCTATCGCGGCCAATGATTTGTCGTACGACTTCTCTTTTCATCATTGATTTGCTTTTTTGTCGTCTTTTCGAGTCCGGACTTTTCGATTATAGGGGAATCGATATCGATTTTGAGAGCTGTATACGGAGATCGATCTGTTGGACGTGTTAAATATGAAATGGTTATATGATATGATATATGAAGTGATACATGTAACCTAGTAAACTACTTTCGAAGTAAGATTAGAAGTCGGGTAGTCGGTTTGATGTTTTCGAAAATGAACGGCCGATGCACCATGTCTAGGATTTGGTGAATCCTAGCCTATGAGTGTGTGCACATATGTGTCGTGTCATGGAACTCGTATAATCTAAACCTTTTACCTCTAACACATTTACAATCAATCGATAATGCACATAGGGGAACATCGTACGTTCCTATTACCGTTCCTAGTTGTCCAGTCCGGGGCCATCGGGGCGCTTGGAGCTATGGCTTGACAGAAGATGGCGGGCTGCTGCGAGGATGGGCTGTGTAGCTGCCGACTGACGACCGACGACCGACACTGACGCCGACTGACTGGCATGGCAGAGCCCTTTTATACACCTGCCCGGAGGCCCCGCCCATTGGGCCCGCCTTTGACAGTAACGTGCGCTTTCGCGACACGTG